GTGAAGTTGCAGTATCCATACTTGTGTATGCTCAAAACAGAGCTCCCTTCCTGTCGTGTAAATACACTTGTGGGTAGTGCGGGGTATGTGCATGCATGATGTAGTCAGGTAGAGTACATGGGTATGCGTGCTCTGTATTTTTTTAAACTGTGTACACATTATTAAAATCTGGATTTTGTAAGATACAAATAAAAACGTGGGTTTGTTTTTCATGCCAAGGACCTGCTAGTTTCCTGCTGGCATTAAAGACCTATTTGGGGGCGATGCTATAAAGGGTGTCCCGGAGTAAATATGTGAAATGTTTAAAACTAATTTACTCTGATTGGGAAATGTGCTTGCTGTTTTGTAATATTTCCTCAAAAACCTGATGAGCGTGCAAGTAATTAGTTTGGTAATTAACTTGAAAGTTTCATCTGTTAACTTAGAAATATATATTTTTGTGATTAAAAAAGATTAAATTGAGATATTTAGCTTTTAATTAGCTAGCCATCCAGTTCGTCAGTATTTTATTTTCTTTTAAGCAAATTAGTAATTTTTCACGAATACCCAAATATATGTGTGTATTCCTATAATGTACACATGTATACACACATATGGGAATAATTCAGTACATATATTTTTAAAACTAGCACAAATAAAAAATATGGCCTTTGGGGTGGCGCCTGTGACTCAAGGAGTAAGGTGCCGGCCCCATATGCTGGAGGTGGTGGGTTCGAACCCAGCCCCAGCCAAAAGCGGCCATTTAAAAAATATATATATATATATAGCCCTTGGAAATGATGATAAGATCATGTTGACATGTTGAGCAGTAAGGTCTTCACTACCATCAAGGTTAATCGACATGGGAACAAACAATGCACATCGTATTTCCTTGCATTACTTGTATTAGTTTGCCTTACCGTTACATGAGTAAACCAAGTCCTTAGTGTAAAGAACGACTTGGTGGTAAACAACACTGCTTGTATTTGAGAGAAGGTCTTCTTCATAATCAGGAAAAGCAAGACTCTAAGTTACCTGTTCATTTGGAATTTGTCACAAGTCAACAAAAACAATGACGTTTCCCAGACCCCTTTTTACGGATTCCAAAGCCTAACCTCAGACACAGCCTCCCATTCGCAGTTGTCTACAGAGTCTTCATTACAATTTTTATTTTCTTAGTTATTGTCATCAAAATCCAATTGGTTTGTCATCAGGGAAAGTGCCTTCCCCATCCCATGTGTACACTTCAATTTAGAAAATCACGAGTCTATCTCTAGAACCCCCTTGGTAAATTGAAGTGGAATTTCCCTTTCTGTCTGATGGCTGTTTTTTTTTTTCTTCTTCAAGTTTTTATTAAATAGTTTTATTGTTATTTTCCTTTTAAACAAATTTAAAAGCAAATATTGGGGAGAGGACATAGAGAAAAGGAGAGTAAGCCAGGTGTGGCTGACGCCTATAATCCTAGCACTCTAGGAAGCCAAGGCAGGTGGATTTCTTGAACTCAGGAGTTGGAGACCAGCCTGAGCAGGAGCAAGACCCCATCTCTACTAAAAATAGAAAAACTAGCTAGCTGGGTGTTGTAGTGGGTGCTTGTAGTCCCAGCTACTTAGGACGCTGAGGCAAAAGGATCTCTTGAGCCCAAAAGTTTGAGATTGCTGTGAGCTATGATAACATTTCACTCTACCCAGGGCAACTGAGTGAGACTCTGTCTTAAAAAAAA